GAGGATGAGGATGAGGATGAGGATGAGGATGAGGATGGCCCCCAGGAATCACGGTGCCTTGGAGAGGAGCATAGCTCCTGATCGTGCTGGAGATCCCCCTGATCCTCACAGAGCCTCTTCCAGGGCCGAGTCTGCTAAACAGGAAAATCCAGCAGGCAATTAAGGGGAAACTGTGAGTAGAAATGATAAATCCTCTGTGCTGCAGAGCGAGCAGGATTGCTCAGGAGTGGCCAAGGGCAGAGCAGGACCCCAGTGGAACCCCGTTCTCCGCCCCAGCAGCTCGTCCTGGATGCTCCTTAGGAGGGAGAGGAAGAGAATTCTCCTTTATGAGCACCTCGTTGGAAATAATTTTTTTTTATTGCTTCTCAATAAAATCRTGCCACAACAGCACAAATCCTCTCACCATTACTAATCTAACTCTCCCTCCAGGAAATTCAAGGCAGGAAACGTTGTCTGCCTGCCAAGGTATTTTATGGTACAATTCTTTAAGCAGTACCTTGGCTCTTTATGTCATTATCTGATGTTTTGGATTTAGGAAACGCCATTCAATTACCCCACAACCTGATTARCACATTGCATGCACTTATTTTGTTCTGCTTTATTTTATATCATTCCTTCTATTTTTATGCATTGTTCTACTTGTTGCTGGCCAAAATCTACCTCAGGCTAGCCCAGACCTTTCTGTTAATGCAGTTTCTCTCTATGGTTTCAATAAGGATAAATTGTTTGTTACCACATTCTTTCTCGGAGTGGAGAAAAATAAAATTATATTTGAAACGTGAAATAATTGCAGGTGTTTTTTTTGGAGGGGCTGGCTATGTCAGAGCTGTCGAAGCGAGGCAGAGCTGGGATTCACTGAGGGATTGGGATCCTCAGCCTTGTGCTCTTTGCACGCAGCTCCCAGACAGTCAAATTATTCCAGACACCCTTGCCTGTGATACCATCTATGCTTAAAAGACTGGAGATATGCAGGCAGCAATCAGATAGCTCAACTACAAGGAGAAATAATAGGTGAGTGAGGCTTAGAGCAGGGGCTTTGCCGGCTGTAAATTGAATTTGCGTTCTCATAGAAGATCCAGCTCTGCCCCCGTGTGCAGAGGTCCGGGAACAGCAGCTCGGCCGGGATCTCCTGCAGCTTCTCCGCATCCCCCTGAACCGCAGAGGGACCGCGTTTGTGGCGGTGCCTCCTCCGGGGAGAGTGGAACCCCCTTGTTCTCCATCACCTGGGACAGCGGCAGAGCGGGACAAGGACGGGGACACCGCTGCAATGACAGCACATCTCGCATGCACACATCCGCCTTCTTATTTAATAATAGTAATAATAATAATAATAAAAAAGCACTGCTGCTCTCTGTAGCCGGATGAAGCCTGCGGCGAGTTTGAAACCAAAACATCAGTAAAGAGTTTTTTAGGTTGAGGTAAGTTCTGGACTTACTTGAGATAGGGAGTCTCAAGACCAGGGAAAAAGCTTCCCAGGAAATTATTGCTGCTATGGGAAGAAATCCTGCTGGATTAGAAACTGGGTAGWATTTCCAGAGTTATGGGAAATTCACCTTAATAGAAGAGAACCCTTCATATGACGGCAGTCATTTATCCCCTTCATGGGGCCATAACCTTCCTGAATGTTTGCCCTCTAAGAACCTGAACTAGAAGGAAGCATTTTATTTAAGGGTTATCAAATAAAGCTTATTAAATAAAATTAATATTATTAAGTTAAAGCTTTTGTATGGATCTCTGTATCTGTAGAATCATTAAAATAATGCCAAAGCCACTTTGCTGAGCCCACTGTCATGATACCCCCAAATCTCAGAATCTCAGAATCTCAGAATCTCAGAATCACAGGATCACAGGATTACAGGATAGTTTGGGTTGGAAGGGGACTCTGGAGATCATCCAGCCCAATCCCTCTGCCAAGGCAGGGTCACCCAGAGGAGGTGACACAGGAACATGGCCAGCTGGGTTCGGAATGGCTCCAGAGAGGGAGACTCCACCACTCTCTGGGCAGCTGTTCCAAGGCTCTGCCACCCTCAATGTAAAGAATTCTTCCTCATGGTGAGGTGGAATTTGCTGTATTTTCGTTTATGGCCACTGCTCCTCATCCTGTCACTGGCCACCAGTGAGAAGAGCCTGGCACCATCCCAGAGGGGTTTGAGCAGATGAATTCACTTGGCCCTTCCCGTTTGCAGCAGGCGTGTGACATTTCCCTAGGCTGCTGCTGTGGGAACAGTTGTTTTTCACTGCTCCTAATGCCTGTTTTCAGTCCATCTCTTCCCTGTGATTACCCCTGTCCCATTCCCTCTGTTTCCCATTAATGGGGCTCCTTGTGCAATCGTGTCACACCTGTCCCAGCAGCTCTGGTGCCCTGCCCTGGATGCTGCCCTTTGTCTCCCAGACCCTGTAGCAAGGCTTTTCCCTCATTTCTCTTTTCCTCCCTGCTGCCCTGCGAGAGGCCAGGGGCTACAGGAGGAGCTGAGCTGCTTTTGGAGCAGTCCTGGATGGGCACCAAGACCCTCAGGGGCAGCACGTGGGGCAGGAGGGATCTCGCAGCGGATCTGGCTAATGAAAGGGCAGGAGTTGGCTCGACATGAGAGCGATGCCGCTCCTGGCAGACTCCTGCCAGCCACAGCAGCTCCTGCTGCCTCCAGAGATGCACCAGGAGGAGCAGAGTGGTTTCTGCTAGCGGGGTTCTCAGATCTCAGGTGGGTATGGGCGAGTTGGGGTTGCAAACCTGAAGGGGAGACAAACTCTGCTCCTGGAGCCCCCCAGCCACCACAGGGCTGGCAAGCACCACCTCCACCGGTGGCTGGTGCAAGTTCTGAGGAAGCTTTGTTTTCAGGTTTTGGCATTCCTGCCCCTGGAGATTAATCAATATTAATGCTTCCGCAACTACCGCTTCCTTTCCAAACACGCTCACAATCAGTTCAGGGGATCTGAAAGTCAACTCACTCAGGATGCTAAGACTTCGACAGAAACAACTTTCAAAGGAACCCTTCAACTTGTGATATTTGTGAAAGGGATCCAAATAGCATTATTCATTTATTTTTCAGGAAAAATGATTTCATTGATATAAACAGACCAAATCCCATAAGCTCCATTCTTTCACTACACTTCCCTTATTCTTTCAGCTACATTTTTATGATTTATCTGCTCATGCCAAGTGTTGAMCATCTCCCAGGATAATAAGAAAACCAATTCTGATTTTCTATTTAAAACTCAGGCTGCCTTTAAGCCACATGTATGAATCAAGCTTCTTCTGAGGCACAAACAAGTTCCATCCGTCACTTCCTTCCGTGACTACCTTAAATAAAAAATTTATTATTTTATGCAATATCCCTTATTTGTTTTTCCATACACTTGCGATAGAGTCGAGCCACTTAGCAGGGCCTAGCACATTATTTATCACTTATCTTCCCTAAAACACGACTTTCAGCTGACACTCAGAATTTAATGCCATATAATTGAGGGAAAAGGGGGAAGCCTTACGTCTGGCCTTCTGTTTGCAGTTACTGGAATTTTGTCTGGAATGCCTTTGGTATTAACGAGCCCATTGCACCTGCACAGAACACCAGCTGCTTGCCATTAATAAGAAACATTATCCCAGTACAGATTTAATGCTACTTGTTCTCATAATTTCTTAATCAGACTCCTCTTAATTGCCAAAAGATGAATAACTCTTGCTCATACACAGAAATGTCTTATAAACTTCTGGGGTTTTTGGTGATGCTTTCYTCTTGTGATGACTCTTCCCCTCCTGTTGGTGAGAAATCCAGTGTACCAGGAAATTACAGGAGAGAGTGTGGAGATGTCCACTGAGACTTCTGCATCTTTAATTTACACTGATGCCTGCCAGACCCCAGATTTGATGTCAGTAAAACCCTAGAGTGTCCCATGCTGCTGTCCCCGCTCTCTGCTGTACCACAAACATCTCCTGGAGCCCAGTTCCTGTCTGGCATATGTGATACGGTGAACACAAGTCAAACACTTCCAACAAATGGGCCCTTTTTTCCCTTCCCCAACTTCCATAAGCCATTTCACAACATCCACGATTGAGACAGTGCTCCTGTTTGGAAAGTACAAATCACTCATTGTACAGGGCGCAAGGCGCCTTTGTTAACAAGCTGGGTGTAGCTCACATTTTTGTTTAATTCTTCTGGGCATCTCTCTAACAAACAAGTATTCTTTGGAGCTCAACTCAATAATCGATACAATTTTCTTAGTTTACAGAGCAAATAATTACTTTCTCGTGATGACTTCACAAGGTCGGGGAGATGGGTATATATAGTGGGGAGGGAGAAGGCTGAGAACCATCCACTCAACCTCCGGCAACCGACCCACAGGGAACAGCCGCTACCACCACCGCCGACATGAAGATGGCAAACTGTGCTGCCCTTCTGGGCCTGGTCCTCCTCGGCTGCCTTTCTGGTAAGTCATTTCTGTCATTTTTGTTGCACTCTATGCTGGTTTAGTCCCCCTGATCTTTGCCTGGCTCTGTGCATCCCGGAGCAGAGTGCAGCCTGCTGGGGATGTGATGGTTCTTTTAAATGAACTTCACCCTTGTGMGGACAAACACGTGGGATCTCTGCTTTAAGCCTTGGAGCCTTAGTGGGGATTATAGTGCTAAAAAAGGATAAAATTTTATGTCCTATTTCTTGTTTAGCAAGTAAAAAATTTCTGGTTTTACAAATAACTGGGGTTTTTTTTAATTTTGGTCTATCGCTTCGCGTTTGCTTGAAGTAGATGAAACATTTGGGAAGATAATCACTTCTCAGTAATGAGAAGGTATATTTGGTTACTCTGTAGGGAAATTGATGATTCCAAGGGAATTTCAGTGAAGGACATTGTACAATTTTTACATTTTATAATTTCTGTTTTTATTGTAGATCTTGCCGTTGCTCAAAGACGGGTGAGTATTAGATCTTTGTCATCTAGTCTTGATTTCTAAGTCTAGATGAATAATTCATACTCACACTAYATTCCAGGGAAGGCTTGAGGGAAAAAAAAAGAGAGAATGAATAAGAAAGAAGTGCCCCTAAGTGCACCTCTTTTCCCCAACATAAGAAAATACCTTTGTCAGAGAGAGATAATTTAGCACGTTGATGATTAAAAAGACAGCGATTAATAATGTAGAGTGCGAGTCAGCACAGCACGGAGTGCCAGCAGAAAATCTATAAGACTATTGAATATCTGCCTAAATATCTTCCCTGACTTGATTCCCCAAGGAATGATCTTTTTTGCCCATAACTCTTGCCAAAAGTACTTTAAGTCAGAAAGGTGCTGTGAAAAACACGATGTGTTTTTTCTTCACCGCGGAAGAGCCATAGAGAGAAAAAACAACTCCTCACAGTTAAGCCCCCCAATGCAGCAAAAACATGATTAGGGCAAGAACATGTTTCTCTCCGCTTGGAGACTCTATGAGTGCTCTTCCCCAGGCCTCCTGCGGCGCCTACATGCTGTCAGGAAAGACCATGAACATCGCCTGTCCCCGCAACTACGACCCCGTGTGCGGCACCAACGGCCGCACCTACCCCAACGAGTGCTCCCTCTGCAAGGACTTCCTGTGAGTACMACGTCCCCTGAGCACCTCTGGTGCCAGCTCCAGCAGCAGGCAGAAGCCTTTGGGGTTGTGACTAATCGTGGGGTGGACTAGATTTTTTCTTCAGTTTCTGTCTTCCTTAATGCCCGGGATCTTCCGTGTCAAAGCTCCAGAATCTGATTAATTACCGGRGCTTTACGGGTGGAGAGACTTAATGATTGAGATGAGTGCATGGCATGGAAAGATTAATCCTTGCTTTCCTTCTCCCTCTCTCCCTCCAGCCGCAACCGTGCTCTTGACAAGAAACACGACGGAAGATGCGTGAAGGTACGGTCTGGGGTCGGTTCCTTCTGTGGCTCTGAGCCATGGTGGGTGATAGCCAGACACAAACCTTGCCKAGGGTTCGTTCCACACCGAACCCACACAATTCCTAACTCCTAGAAATGGAGTGAAAATGAAGAATTTCAGATTTGCAGGAAAWTTAATTTGCATTTTGCTCGAACTGCTAAAATCAGTGAGCTTTAAAATGCAAAATGTCTTCTGTACAACACCAGAGTTTAGAAAGGAAACTTTTGATTTCAAGAGCGTTTTGTTCAGTGTTATGAAAATACTTCTCTTTAGATTTAGACTTAGAGCCTTGTTGTAGCAAAGAAATTCCCAGAAGAAGTTTGGGTTTCAACTAAATTATAATTTCGTAACAGAAAAAAACTGATTCTATCTGAATGTTTACCACAAAGTTAAGATAAAGTTAGTGTCAATATATGGAGCTACCATGAAGTGGCAAAGTGTGTCTATTTTTAGTTTAGAGAAAGAGAGGGAGAGAGTAAAGCAACACTCTGGCTGTGCAATTTCACATAATACAACGACTTCCATTTCAATACACTCAGAGTAATTGCAGCAGCAGCGAGCTGAGTGTAAACTCCATTTGTGAAAAGGCGCTGGCACCTCACAGCAGAAGTTGCTGCTGCGTAAAGTATTTTAGGCAAAAATCCTTCATTGTGGCATTCAGGAGAAAAATCCCTGCGATGACAGGGATTGGAAATCACCTCAGGACATGTGCTGATGCTGTACCCACAGGCAGGATCTATCTGTGCTCCCCAAATCCCCCTCACTCCAGCTGGAAGCCCCTTTCATCTTGCAGCTCTGGGAAGAGGGGGAGATGCCTCTCACACCACACTCCATTGCACAGGGCTGATGCAGAGGGGAGCAGAGATTCAAATGCTCTTCTGTGACTGTTTCAGATCGACTGTACCGGTTTCCTGAAGCCTGGCAGCGGTTTTAATGTCCCCTGCACCCTGGAGTACTCCCCCATCTGCGGCACCAACGGCATCACCTACAGGAACAAGTGCAACTTCTGTAATGCTGTGGCGTAAGTGAAGGGCCTGGTCAGGGGAGGGCTTTCTGGGTCAGAATTGCTCTTTTTGGTATTTGGAGCATAACGGGGTTGTTTGGCTCATGAAGCAGCTGCGCTGTGCTCATTCATTCTCAACTCATTTTCCCCAAAAAGGAGCGGCCTGGAAGTGAACCTGCAGAGCTACGGACAGTGCTTCCAAGTGCAGCAGCCCGGCCAGCAGCAGGTAAATCTGCTCTCTTAACTGCTGGWACATTTTGTAACACAAATTCGTGAYTGAATAATAGAAATGCCTRCCTTGTACTGGTGCATTTGGMMTGGAAAYAGGACTTGAGGAAAATGGTTAAAGTATGCCAGGGTCAATGGTTATTGAATAGTTATTGAATGGTTATTCAATGGTGTCTGATCCCCTCTCTGACCTGGGATCAGCAGGCAGAGGGTGCTGAGACCCTCATTTGCTGTGGCASTRGACRAGCAAGAGAGGCTGCATCATTGATSCAGGGCATTATTAGCAGCAGTGATTCCCTAAGAATTTACTGCACGGGGGCTTGTGACCACCCCCTTTCTGTACACTGGCCTCTGCTCACCTGTAAGCCAAAGCAGCCAGCAGAGAGCCAGCCTGGAAATATCAGCATGGCCATTTCACTACTTATAACAGCATTTATTAGGGTTTTTCTGTTCACCATCTCCCTGCTCCAGGCTGTTCCAGGCAGGCACATTCTCTGAGTCTGCAGAATTGCTGGAACAACAGGGCCCCGCTCCTAAAAAGCGCTTCCGTGCTTTGCCCTATCACCAACATTAAATAAACATAAAGCACTTACGCAGGAAAATACAGGGAACGAAAGCTCTAAACCCTGTTTTTGCTCCGTTAGCAAATGATTGACTGCAGCCAGCAGAAGGGTGGCAACATGTTCTGCACCTCCGAGTACAACCCCATCTGCGGCTCCGACGGCAGAACCTACGGAAACAAGTGCAAGTTCTGCAATGCTGTGTCGTAAGTGCAGAGCTCCTGAAAGCACAGGGGCTGTGGCAGCTCCTGGGGAAGCCCAGGGATCCCGTTAGCTCCCATCCCTACCCCGTGCTCCTCTCCCGACTCTCACTCCTCTGCCACCCCCCAGGCGCTGCAGATCTTAAGCCTGAGTGAGTCTTCTCCTCCTCCCCTTGCAATTAAAAGCAGATCCCCGCTCGCAGGCTCATAGCATTGCTGACTGCCTCCCTGTCAGGGTGATTGAAAGTGTGGCTGTAGGAGGTACCCAAAATTATGGGGTTTGTCCCAAATATCTTTAACGTATCGAAGMGCGTAGCTTGGGGAATCTGAAAAGAGGTGAAACATTGAGTGAAGTATTTTGTGACTTGGCGAGCACAAGGGCGTTTGGCTTATTTGGGCAAAGTTGGGTCATAAAAATGACATCTGTGTCTCTAATTTTGATCTCCCTCTCTCTCTACAGCCGCAGCAGTGGAGCTCTGTTCTTCAGCCACCAGGGCGYATGCTAAGCGCTGGAGCTGCACCCTCCAACACGACACTTCCCTCACAAATTCTTCAATCAAACATGCTCTTCCTTGCTCCCTCAACTGTTACGCATCTGTCTCTGCTTTGATTGATCAATAAATTAAATGCAGCCACAATCTCTGGCATGGAATGGTTTTTTATTTTGGTTTTGTTTTCTGGGCAGGGGTAATGGTTTTCAGGCTTTTGGGTACTTATCAGGCAGGAGAAGTGGGGGAAATAAACCACGATACAGAGCAAAACACCAACCCAAGCCCAAATGAGAGAATGTGGTTCTGTAGCAAACCACCAGAAAATGCTGTAAAATAGTGCAGCTTCCCTAATTTTGAACTCTTGCAGGGTATAAAYGGATTTGTCTCTGTCACAGCACTGGAACTTGGAAGAGCTGGACATTTTAGGGGTCCAGGGGTGTGAAAGGTGTCTGTACCCAACTCTACCTGGTCACACCTGGGCAAGGGGCAGATCTGGTGGTGTGTTATAAAAAGGAGGCTTATGGCAAAGGGAGGAGGTGTCTCAGAGGGAAGAAAATTAGGAACTGTTGCTTCCTGGAAGGGTGTGTCCATCAAGACTGTGCCCATCAGCAGAAAATTGCAGCAAGCTGCGCAAGGCTGTAATGAGCCTAATGAGAACCTGAGGAGAAATTAGACTGGGCTCAGGCTTTCAGATTCTCAGAAAAGAGATCTGAAAAGCTGCACTGGGGGTATTTGAGGCAGAGGTAAGGCAGGGGACTCTTCAGGAGAATGTCTTGGGTTTTCTAACTCCAGAAAAGACGTGCCAGAAGATGTGCTGGTAATTCCAATTATTGTTGATAGTGCTTTCTACCCTGGGAAAAAAAGGTGTGGAGATAACATCTTTGTGGGAGCCTGAAGCGTGCACTGCAGGAACAATGACAAATGTGACTGCTCATGATGATGTGCCATCTTTTGGGGTGAGTCAAGGAGTTAATATGCAAASAGCACAAGCAAAAAGTCCCAGGTGCCATGGCTCACACACTCCCTTCCTCATCCTTTCTCCACCTCCCGTTCTCTTGTTATGTAAAAGAACACTTGCTGCTGAGGCTGATATTTAGGACAAAATCTGTGACTTTCACGACACTTCTTTCGGTCTTGTTTCCTCAAGTAGATAATWTCTTGACYGAGAATTTTGTGGGTGCTTCCCAYCAGAAGATAAGAGGCTYGTCCTTCMYTCAGAACCAGCACAGAGAGCAGTGYTCTGTCCTAGGAGRGAGGATGAAAAWTCTCATTTTCAYRGGGGACTTTTTGTGTTAGTACAGGCAATATAAATCACRTCATACCTTTGTGCCTGCTCTTAAGAAAGGACAAATTGGAGAGTCACGAGAATCCTCATGTGTTTGTGTGTCTAAAAAAAGCAGGTGAAGGACAGTGCAAGCAGCCAGTGCATGTGTTTGGCTAATTTTGTGTTGGAAAAGTGGTTTACAGAGTGGCCACAGCCTAGTGGAGTTCTGGCCATGGCAGGAAATCATTTTCAATGTCGAGGTCTTATGGTGAACCTCCCTCTGCAGGGGTGTTTTGTGCCTGAGGAAGTCAGATACCTGCTCAGGAGCTCAGACTCTGGAAAAGTCTGAAAAAGAGCTGCTCACCTGCAGCAAAATGGGGGATAAATGGTGAATATATGGCTTTGTCACAGATGGCTCAGAAGCCTCTAAGCAAGGACTCTTCAGAAGATGGAAAGGTTTGTAGCATTTAAGGCTAAAGATGGCCCAGCACWGGTTAAAWYTGACACCAGMAAKACTCTGCCCAACCACCCCTTAGGCYGYAAAACAAGRTCCYKGTGCCCTTCTCCTACCCCTGATTGTCAGAGGGACAAAATTCCCCRACCTGTGCCAGCACATGGACCGCTCAGGTGCCACGAAGAGGTGGAAACGGGCGATAAAAATAATCACCAGGTTGGTAATTCAGCCTTTTCCTCTGCTGAGCCCGGAAGGRGCTGCTCCCTGCCCTGTGTTTGCTGAGCCTGGAGCCGGTTGTGCTGCAGCAGCCGAATCCTTTGGGCAGATAAGGAAGGGGCTGAAAGCAGAAACGGCGAGCGAGGAGTGCTGCGAGCGGCAGAACTGAGCGTGGCTGGGGACRGCGCTGCGGCTGACGGCTTTGATAACTAAATTATACCAGAGGCTGCGTCGTGAGATCACCCCTAATAGACAGCTGAGGGTTCGCCTGTCACTCACGGTTTCTCTGCCACCGAGTGGATTTTAAGATGTCTGGCAAGCTGCAAACTGGAAAGCTTCCCCAGGTGTAGGGCACCCATGGCATTGCTCTCCTGCAGAAACTCGGGATGCTGCTAGCAGCTTTCCTCTGTTGCTAGAAAAATGTACAAAAATGTGTTCGGTATTTTTAATGGTTTTTTTTTTTTTTTTCACTCCTGCGTAAAATTTGGCTGGAACTAGTTGCGTACTCAGAATTCACTGGGGGAAGCTAAACCCCAGATATATCTACACACATTCCTCTCCCAGGCCTTGTCTCCTTAGGAAAACACGCTAAAATTTAAGCTTATTCTTATCTGGAGAGGTGTTTGGCAAATGGTGCAGCTGAACACAAATCCTGGTGCAGCCTCAGCTGGAAATAGAGCTYGGATCTGCCAATTCCCCATCAAATTCCCTTCACTGCCGCTTGCAGAGCCCTAACATATGTTTGTGCATGTGAAAAACTGGGAAAACATTGACAGCTAGGGTTTAAATAGTTCAGGGAGGAGAGTCAGCAGTCCTATCTGGGACTGTGAGCGCAGCGAGGAGAGCGTGTCACATCCCAGCTCYTCTCCACCCCAACTCCACAAATTTAGAACCGTCCTCAAAAATAGCCAGGGAACAACGCATAATTGGTTTCACAGACAACACATTCCCATGCTGTGATTTATTTCGTAACGTCTAGTGAGTGTCATCACGCCGCTCTCAGAGCCTCGGAGAGGGCCCAGAGAATGAAAATTACCAGCTTCCCCCGATGAATCACCGCTTTGAAAATTCACCCTTGTGAGAATCCGGTGACTATTTGGAAGGAAAAAAAAATAATTATATTACAAACACGTCTATCACTCATGTAATGATCCCTTTCTAGGTTTGATGTGGACAGGGCAGCATTCCTTAAAGCACCATTAACCCRGCCAGGACCAATAATGGCTTTAGAAATCAAGTGGAGAAGTTCTCACAATTAAGGTGGGGAATGAGGACAGCTATGGACAGGCACATAAATACACAGAAAGGCAGCTCTGCCTGCACACTGTGTGCTCTGGGATTGAGACAGCACCTCCTGCYCTGACCTTGGCTTGGACTAAAGAGCTCCCTGCAGCATGAGGGCTACAGGTGCCTTAGTGCTTCTCAGCCTGCTGCTGTTCTCTTTCTTCTGGGGTAAGTGATCTTTTTCCCTAGCCTAGAAAAGAAAAACAAACACCAAAACCTCTCCCAACAGCAAATTTTGGAGGTCTTGATCACCGGCGACAGGCTTGAAGAAAAGCTGAGCAAGTAGAAAATATCTGCAGGACTTGCTCACTCGTGTGACTCCACTCCTCGTGTGGATAACGCAGTGGAGGTCTCACTGGGAGACAGAGAGAGCAAATTCTGAGCATCTCTTCCACAAATGTACCAAAACAGAGTGTAGTTATRAATTTTTGGTACAAATGTTCACTGGAGAGTTTTGCTGAACCAGTTAGAGAGGAAGCTCRCTCACCTCTGGGTGATCTGCTCTTGTTTTGATCCTAAGCATCTTGGTATTTGGTGTTTCCCTTGGAGATGTGGAGATGTAATTAGATGAAAGTTTCAGCTTTCGTTGATGTTGGAGAGAAAAGCTTGAAAATTAAATTCAAATGTCCTCAAGGAGTCAGAACAAAGAGGGCAAATTAAAAGGATCCAGCAACTATTTATCTGGAGATTTACACATCTCTGTGATGATGTGGGGAAGCTGAGTGATGATTTTTGAACATGTAGATCATGCCAGGGTTATCACTTGCTTGAGTCCAGCTGACCTAGCTCTGCAAGGTGTGTGGCAACAGTTATGGAAAAAGATGTGGAAACCAGAATTATTTATACTTGTTTTCCTGTGAATAATTTGAATAAAGAATTCACTTGAGAAAATGGCAAGCTGTGCRTGGAGAAGAGGTGAATTGCTTTGTACACATTATTCATTATGAAATATTCATCTGWCTCTAATTGAGTCTTAATTGGGACTGGGTTCCGTCAGAAGGCTGAAGATTCCTTCCAAGGCCGGGCAGAATAGCAGCAAACCCTGTGATCTACTGTAAAATAAACAGATGTCAAGAGGCATCATCACAAATTCTTCTGTGGTTGCATGTAATATTTATATAAACTACTTAATGAGCTGTTTTGTAAATAAYATGCAGATAGCCATACCAGTGCCTTCAACATTAGGGGAGCCTGGCCAAACCTAAGGAGAGGGTAAATGTGCATTGGTAAAAACACCAATGGACAACAGAAATAGTGAAAAAAGCAGGAGGGTTGATGAGGGTTAGGTGGGATTGCCACTTGGGAGGGACAAGTGCAGGGCAGGATCCTTCCATCTCCTGTCCAGAGCCGCTTGAGCAGCTCCATGGCCAGCAGTGACCCCGCTGACCAGCAGGCACAGCCTCACCAAATGCTGAGTATTTGCCCCACGCTGCTGTGACCCAGATTCTACAAATTCAGCCCACCCTCAGTGCCAGGCTCCCCCTCAGAGACACCCCAGGGTCACCCCGTTTCACAGCTCTGACTCAAGCTCCACGCCTCCCTGCCAGCTCTGCAGGGCAGAAACACGAAGAGCWTGGACTGCTGAGCTCCAAGCCCAGAGCTGTGGTTACAGAGGAAATTTTGGTGATGATTCTGACCGGCRCTGCCTGTTCTGCTCTGTCACCCCGTGACGTCTCTGTATCTCACCAGGGATGAGCCTGTCCTGGGAGGGTCTGTGGGCTGTGAGCCCAACCATGGCTGTGAACCCAACCATGGGGTTTCCTTCTCCTTGGTCCTCTCCTGTCAGCAGCACCAGCWGCTTTCATCACTCAGAGGTGCAGGAGCCTTAAAAGCCAACATAGTTTTAAAATCTCTGGGAGCACAGTTCCACATCCGATATGGCAGCTTGTTTTCCTGGAGTGGCTGCCTTCCAGGAGACTGGGTTATGTGTCTGAGGTGTAGTTAGCAGCTGAATGAATGATTACGTGGTATTTTAGTAGCATTTTTTAAAATAGAAAAATACTGAAAGGCAATTCAGATAATGTATTTCCTGCCYCCTCTTCCCCTGTGAGGGATGATGGAGTAGGAAAAACCTGGAGTATGTTTCACTGTGGTTTGCATAAAGGGTTTGTGAATTTACTCCAGACTTTATCAGAAAGTAATGCTGACGTGTAAAATCTGTCTGGTTTTCATTTGGTTTTTTTKGGTTTTTTTTCAGTTCCAGATGTAGCYGGTCAAGAGATTGAAGAGGTTAGTGCTGCTGTTTCTGCTTGCTGAATCTGCATTTCACAGATTCATGGGATCAWTAAGATTGSAAAAGACCTTCAAGATCATCGGGTCCAGCCTTTGACCACCACCTTGCCAACTAAACTAAACCATAGCACTGAGTGCCACATCCAGTCATGGCATTTCACTTTGGAGGAATGTTTTTATAACCAAAATCTTGGTGMTGGGTAAACAATTTTTTAATGTCTGCTGGGAGCAGGTGGGTCCTTCCAAGGATTCCCAGTGCTGGGGAGTTCACTGGGGGATGTTATGTGTGGCCACATGAGAAGGTAGAGCAGGAAAGAGATGGTTGGTTTAACAAATGCTTCCCGTGATTCTGGGGTGCTTCACCACTTTTGGCATGGTTCCCCTGTCCAATCTTCTCATGAAGAAAAGGGATTATTGAGTGTTCTATTCCCCCAAATTAAATTAATCACTGGGACTTGTATAGAGACAAAACACCAGTGCCCTTCCTGGGCACCATTTCTAATTCCCCAGAGAATTCCCCCATGGTTTTCCCCTCCTTRCTCTGGGAAAGCAGGAGCTCAGCAAGCACCAGCTGAGTGCAGGGTTTCACAACACACGTGGAGTCATTGGCAGGGAGGYAGCTCAGCTCCAAGTGCCTGAAAGAGCATCAGTGCTGACTCTTTTCCTGCATGCCTAGGCTAATCCACTCCTGTTGTTGGGAGATCAAGGCCTTTCCCGGGTGATTACAGTTTTCCTCCTCAAACATGATGCAAAAATTCCCCCTGAAATGTAGATTCTGCTCATTTCTGAAGTTTTTCTGTCAGAAAATAGGCAGTGTCAGCACCTGTCAGAAAAAGCATTGCATTAGTGACCTTGTATCCAATTTGGAAAGTGAAACTAAGAGTATGGGGGTTCCTGAAAGGGGTTTTTTTTTTTCTTTTTATTATTCCTTGTGCAGATTTGTAGAGAGTTTGTAAGCAGAAGCGTGTACTGCACGAGGGAGTCCAACCCTCACTGCGGCACGGATGGCGTCACCTACGGGAACAAATGTGCCTTCTGCAAGGCAGTGCTGTGAGTGACACCAGGGGGGTGGAAAAACRGGAATTGCCTTAATTTCTGTGGCTCTAACCATCTTCATGGAGGGAAGGCCCCGTATCCAGGCTGCTCCTCTTGCACAGACCAGCCCCTGAACTGTGCTGAGCAGAATGTTTCCTCCTTGGAGCAGAGCTGTGTGGCTACGAGTTAATTTTAATTCATTTCTGGGCGTTGCAGGCTGCTGGTTGCCATGCTGAGAGGCAGCACGGGGCCTGGGAGGCAAATTCATCCTGCCTGTACCTTCCTCACTCACTAAATCGATGCACAATTCCCACTATGTGCCACAGGCTGCAGCTCTCACTGCCCACACTCCTGGGTACCGAGAAGTGCCTGCAGGAATGTGGGAGCTGATCCATGCCAAGTTATTCCTGAAAAGTCTSAATGAACTTTGTGGAAGGAGATACAAGATCTCAGGGGAAGAACAGGATGTCTTTTCTCTCCCTGAGCTCTGCCACCTTTTAAAGGGGATGCAACAGGAGCCATCCCTGTTGGACGGAATGTACTTGCAAAATGTTTTTTCCTTAGCAATCTTCACATTTGATGTGCAGTCAAGGCTGCCTTATCCTAGGGCAAATTAAAGAAYGAGGAGAGGAGGAAATGGCTGGATGCTCCTTGTGAGGCACCAGGGGTTTGTGCTCTGGCACAGTCAGGTCTGTTGGGATGGAGGAGCTGTCCCAACTGCTGTGTCTGTCATTTGGAGCTTGGTCTGAGTCTGTCTCCCTCCTTTCACAGGAGAAGCGGAGGGGAAATCAGGTTGAAGCATCTGGGGAAATGCTGAGCGCTCCCCGTGACCGAGCAGCAGGAGCTGAGACCCAGCCAAGCAGTGACCACGGCCATGGGAGCAGCCTGTCCTCCCTCTGCAGCCTCTGCTCAATAAAACAAAACTCAGCACCATGCCTTGCCTGGATTCTTCTTTCCCTAACACCCAGAAAAGCGCTTTGATCCAGCCGTGCTGGAGCTCAGTGCACGGCTTTGCTCTCCAGTGCTGCTGTTGAAAGCGATTCTCACCGCTCCCAGGGCCGTGCCCTGCTGTCCCTGCCAGCCACAGCTCYCCTGCCCCATCCTGCTGGCAAACTGGCACACGCTGGGCAGCCACAAACTGCTCTGGCTTGTGGGCTCCTGCCCGGCTGTGCCGTGCCAAGGGTGGGTGCCAGCGGCTCGCTCGCCAGCTCCATCTCCTGCTCTCGGGGTTACTGTGGGAGGGTGACGGGAGAGCTGATGAGCAGCGTGACTGCAGATGCCTCATCTCCCTTGGAAAGTGGGGACARGCAAGCCGAGCCTAGGGAGCATTGCTCCGTTTAAGCCTGCACGTGGAGGTTGGTTTTAGGCWGAAGCTGCAAGGCTCTTCTTTCCCAAATGAGTCTTTTTCCTTCTTCCCTCCGAGGGAACGCTTTGTCTTGGAAACTGTGAACTTGCCAGCATTAGTTTCCTGCTGCCAAGCGGTTTCTCATGCTAATAAAAATTATATTTAGAAGAGCGCCAGATTGTGTAAATTGTCAATAATTTAAAAAGAAATATATTCCCCGGAGCAGAAGAGCTGTGGGCTTACTCTCYCCTTCTCTAGGATAAATTCTCTCTGAATCATACGCAGACCTTAATTTTCTAGGCACACATGTTTGCATTTATTTACAATTTTTAATACACATAGACTCYATTCCTTTCTTCACTTTTCACACTGCTGGCCTCTCTCTTCTTCACTCTGGCTGACAAATCCTTCTTTGCGCAAATGCAAGAGAAGTAATTTTACAGTCTCCCCTTTCGCTGTGCAAAACTCTCACAAGGAAATACCTGTGGYATCCTCTTGTTAAACCATTGGCAGTAGATCAATGGGACAGCAGCTCCTTCATGTTAAACACTTAACTTTCAAAGGAAGATTTARATTTTACCATCAGCCTCAGGGGTCAACATCTTTTGCAAGCACCTGAGTGCTGAGCACCTAAACCTCTGGACCGTGTTTGGACAGAGCTGGAGCTCTGTTTGCCTCTCACAGTCACAATCCCTGCTTTGAACTCAACTGCCTGAAAAGAGAGGCCTCAGCACACCTAATACCAGCTTCTCCTCTGGTAATCCACATAACCCAATTCTGGCAAATCCTTTGTCATTTGGTAACTTCCCAGGCAGGCAGCCAGTGGCTGAGCTTTGTGYTGGAGCTGGCTTGGAGCTTCTCTTGGGCCAGCTGCCTTTGATCCTGATGGTTTTCCCATCCCAGCCTACTGGATCCTTGCAAAATCCACCACCTCTTCCTTGAAGCAGACCAGCCCTCTCTGTGGCCCAGTTGTACAGCCTGGCACCTTGTTTKGTTTTAAATTCAGATGTTGCATTGCTGAACTCGACAGCAAAACACCCAGGGCATGGGCTCTGAGGGGAGGAAAAAGCACAAGTGGTCCTGAAAAACACACTCAACCCTCCTGCTTGGAGCAGGGTGACCTCCACAACTTCTGCCTGGGTTATCCTGGGATGGTCCTTTTACATTGTGTTGCTCTGGAGCAAAAAGACTCATTTTTTAAGATGGAAAATGACATTTTAATGAGGGAGGGGCAATGGGTAATTTTTGAGCCTGAGACGGCCCTCAGTGACTCCAAAATTCTCACAACATATTGCCTTATCTAATCCTTTTTAATCTGGAGGATGAGAAAACAAGAACAGGAGAACAGAAATTGCAGAAATTCTCCGTTCAGTGAACATCTTGTATTTTGGTTTTTTCAAAGCAAATAGCAAATAAAACACCTCCATACCTCACAGGCCCAACCACCATCTCCTCCACCTGWTCCAGGGAAGTGGAGAGTGGGAAATATCTTCTTTTTGAGGAAATTAATTCCCTCACCTGGGGAAATGTCCCAGAATGTTGTCCCCAGGAGGCACCAAGAGARGCATCGCTCCAGCAAAAGCCACTTCTGCTGTGATCCACCCTTCCAGCTGAGCAGGCCCATGGATGGCCCCATTTAACTGGGGTGGAAGGGGTGCTTTGAGGGATGTTTTGTTGATTCCAGATCTGTTCACTCTTGACTTTGGAATGCTGGACTCACCTTCCCAGAGGGGTGATGGATCCCTGGGACAGGGCAGGAGTGCAGCAGTGGCCACAGCCTGTCCAGCCTGAGCTCCCCTCTGTTCTGGCTGCTCCTCCAAACACAAACCAAACCAGAAATCAAACCTTCAGCCACTGCTTTTCCTCGATTTTCTTCCTACACCTTTAAAGTTGTGTTGGGTTTGGGTTGTTTTGTTGTGTTTTCTTTTTGACAGCTTTGAAAGGTGAGTGAGTCATGATACATTTGAGATCTCTCTTAGATAACACGAGCATCTTCACAGCTCCTGCTCTCCCTGGGGAGGAAGGGGCACGGGCTGGGGTGGGAGCTGCCCCTTGCAATGGAACGAGGGCTGGGTGCTCCCCACATCTCCCTCAGTGCCTCACCAGGTAAAACAGGAATGTTTTACATTTTCATTCTAAACAGGAATGAAATCTGTGCATGGTGTCACCACAAGGAGACCACTGAGCTCTGTCCCCTGCCCAGGCCGTGCCCATGGCAAGGGAAGGAGGTTATTTTCCCTCTCACAGCTCCACTCTGCTGGTGATGCAGCTGACACTTTCCTGTGTCCAGGCTCTTGGCCCATTTAACTTGTGAGCTCAACTGCTTCCTCCTCCTCCCCAGCACAGGCACGTGGCACTGTCGCAACTCAGTTGAATCCTTTGCCCTACTTTTTTTCCCCCTGACATTCACAGCGTTTGACAGGGCTTTTCAAGCTGCCATGGGATGATCCAGGGGTGGTGGTGCTGACTGCAGGGCTCYCACAACCTGGCTGGGGAGGAAGCTCTGGACTCGGTTATCATTCCGGTTCACCCTCTTTTCCCAGAGAGAAGCAGGATGGATCAGCTTGGAAGGGACTCTGGTCCAACCTCCTGCTCAYRGCAGGGTTRGTGCTGAGATCTTATCAGGRTGCTCAGGGCTTTGCCCAATTTAGCCCTGAAAACCCACAAAGGTGGATGTGGAGCCTCCCTGGGCTGTCTGTCCAGGCTGTCACTATGGTAAAAAAATATTTCCTTCTACCCAGTTTCAATCTCTTTTCTTTCAGCTGTCCCATCTCCAAACCATGTGCCACCATGAGGAACCTGAATCCATCTGCTCAGGAACCTTCTTGTTAACTGCTCAGTGCAGTTGTGTCCCCCTGAAATCTCACCAGSCTGAACRAGCCCAGCTCCCTCTGCCTCCTCTCACCGAGCAAATGCTCCAGCCCACAACTCTTGGGGGTTTTTCACATCAGTTTTCCAGTCTTTCTTATTTTGGGACAGAGCCCAAAACTGAACAGTGGAGGGGATTCTGAGCTCTGGGGTCAGGGAGAAGGATTGCTCAGGGAGCAGGTGGGAGAGCTGTAGGAGCCTTGCAGGGTGCTGGAAGATGTAGATGGTGACATTTGCAGGGAGCAGCAGAATGTCAGGGTCTGTTGGGTCCTTTATGGGTTAGAGAACAGCTGAGCCTGCCCTGGGGTGAACGGGATCCCAGATGTTGGGAATCAGCCAGCAGTTCCCTCCATCCCTGTCACAGTTGAAGARCWYAAATAGCAGCCCAGGGGAAGGATTYYTCTGTTTTCAYGGRCTRCARRGCACAGAGAAGGTGAGGAGTTGGCCTAGCAGTGTGAGTGTTGGTGTTGGTGGTTTTTTTGGGAGTTGGTGGGGGTTTTGCTGGTTTGTTCCTTGCTCTTTTGACTGGGTTTTTTGTTGGTTTTTTTTTCCTGAAATAAACAGTGTGGTTCAGGAGCTCCTCACAGCAGCAGCTGCAGTAATTGTGCCTGGTGTCAGTGTCTCATGAGGCAGCTCTAAAAACACTGGGGAAGGCTTGGAAAATGTGGAAGAAAAGGATTACCCCAATACMTAAAGGAAGAATGGGGGAGGAATGAGATTTACCCCCACAGGTGCAACAGGAATGGTTGCTTGTCCCAAAGCTCCAAATGAGGCAGTGCTTCAAGGCACCTCTGGTTTTTGTCACTCATGGGGCAGTGAGRGAAAGGACTCCAAGCTCCTCAGGACTCTGGAGACAGCAGGGTTTTGGCAAAACCTCAATCAGGAGTTGAAGGATAAGATCAAAACTGAGCTTCTGCTGAGGCTGAGGGATGCCCTTCCCCTTTTGAAGATAAAATTGTCCAATTAATTGTGAGTGAACAGAAATGCTGCTGTCGTGGCAAGGGCTGGCTCTGACCCTTCTGGCTTTCCCAAGATGTTTTGTGCCTTTCTTTRGCAGGGTGATTTTGGGGAGTCACCTCTGATAAAGCCATCACCGCTTGGCAGCTGCCCTATAAACACATCCTCTACTTCGGGACATGCCCTAAATCCTTACCCACAGCTACCCCAGGCCAGTGGGGCTCCTGTTTTGTCTGATTGTGATGGTGGCGGTGAGAAAGGAGCCGGGAGAGGCTGCAGAGGTCCCGTCCGTGCCCGGAGGATGCGGCGTTCCCGGGCATTGGGCTCCCTCTGGTGACAGCCGGGAGCCGCCAGCGGGCTCTGATCCTCTGGAAA